GATATGTAATGCATATTTTAACATGTTTTCTTCTAATTTGTCGCACACGCTTGTTATGCATGATTATATAAAAGTCCATGTTTTTAAACCCAGTGGTATAAGTGTGTAAGATGTATTTGGTTGGGCTAAAAGATTCAGAAGTCTAATTTATATTGAGATATGCTTAGTCAAGTAGTTTTTCACAGCAGTTAGCTAACACTTCAAGCTCTAACAGTGCCCCTGAGCCATAAAACAAATTTGCATGTAAGAAATATTTTGAATCTATTAAAACAGCTCAAAGCTAAAGAGTTGCTATCATGTCTTTGTTGACTAACATGAAGTGAGATCCTACAAAAAGCTAGGCTGTGATCGACAGATGCCAAATCTTAGGTTTTGATGTGATTATATATTTCTTTCAAGCATAGCAGTTTAAGTCTGGGACTGGAGCTTCAGAAAGACACCAATCAATGGGTCTGTGCAAGACTACACAAAATATATAACTCCTGGCAGTCGTCAAGGCAGAATTATTCAAAAAATAATTTGAAATGCATTTGATCATGCACTAGATGGTTTAATAATTTATATTATACTTTATTAGCAAAGTCTTGTGTTTACTTAGTGGCTGCCAAAACAAGATGAAAGGCTCCCTCCATGAAAATACAAGATGCTTAGCTCAAAGTGTCATCTTTGCATTTCAGTTTGATAATTACTTCTCTTCCCCCCATTTTGATTAACAGTATGGAGGTTTAAATCTTAGAGTACCTTCTCCTTCATTGTGGTCCTTTCTAGTGAGAGAAGTGTTATTTATTAAAAACAAGTCTCCCCAAGAGTTTATGGCTGAGCAAGGATTAAATTAGTATGAATAAATATTTCTGGAAGCTTCTTTAATATTTTCTCCAAGTATTTTTCAGATAAAAAAGAGTCTTTGGATTTAGTTCTAAATTCCACTGCACTGAATCATTATGCTAATCTTCCCAAGTCTTGCAGCTATAGAAGTGTTTGTGAGCTCAGGTAAAGAAATTGTTGCTCTTACTACTGATTCTGTGTGATAAATATTACCAGCATTATCAGTTCAGAATAATGCAGAAATACCTTGAGGATTCTTTGAAAAGCAAATACAATACAAACATTTCACCTAGAGATACAAATAAGGGCCTTACAGAATTAATGCTTTGATAAAGTCAGAGCACAGAGGGAGTGAACCAGAGTAACTGCCAGTTCAACATATGAGATCTGTGCCTCCACCCAAGCTTTTTTACATCAATGATGCATAAAAGAGCTCTCATGAAGTTGGTTTTATGAAAGATGTTCTGCAGGTGTCTTGAGTAATTCTTCAAGGCACAGTAGATGGAGAGTTTTAGGGGAAAAAAAAAATTATGAGACAATCTCAGAATATAGTGCTTTAGTAGTGCAAACACTGAAGGTGATATAACAGTCCAGAGAAGCTACTGTAATTTGTCTCGTCTATCCTAGAATACAGGGTTTTAGTTTTGGTTTACATAACACCATACTCTCACCTCCTTTTCTATGCATGCAACATATACTACAACATGTAATGTATGCTTTACCTGAAAACCACTTCCTCAAATGGAGCCTACAAAAGGGCTTTTTGCCCAAATAAAAATGTATGTGCAGTGTTTTCCACTAGTACACCTGGTAATGGGATAGTTATATGCTAGTAAGAACAGATTATATTCTAGACAGGCAGTTCAGTGTTTTGCAGACTGCAGTCTGTAAGGGCCACTCCAGCCCTTTGCTCAGGCTTGAGAGTGCAAGAACTCTCAGTTCAGTTTAGCCCAGCTCTTTTTCTTCCCATTGAGAGTTCTGTGCTGTGTCATACGGAGCTGCAGAACAGACTCTTGGGAAAAGGCATCTACCTGCAGGCGTCTCTGAGAGATTATCATGGTTTTAAAAGCTGTTGTACAAATTGCAGGGTGGACAAAAGACTGACATTTTCTAAAGGAGCCTTTCAGCTATAGGGAACCAGATGTAACCTTTTCACAGTGCATCTTCTGTGATGATAATAACAGAAATTTTCAAGAAAGGGAGTGGTATTTTCAGTTTTGCAAGACAGAGTATTGGGGCAAACTAGAAATTAGTTCTTGGGACATACGGATTAGATGAAAATATTTGTTACTTCCACTGAAAAAAAAACACAAACATTTTTGATAGGATCGTCTGATGAGATGCACAATATCAAATAGAAATGCAGTAGTGTTTTAAGTGATAAACTGTGAAGTATATCTTAAAGAAAAGGGTCACTTTAGTTTGCAAACTGTGATCTTTTTGTCCATGTAAAATATCTTAATCCATTATAAAATTAGTAAAGAATTCAGGTTAGCAATGTAGTAGGAGTAACATTTCATGTAAAAACCGTAATATGCATCTATTGAAATAAAAACTTCTGGTTTAAACTGTGTGACAGTCTCTTACAGGATCCGAGACACTGTGCAAATCCAAGAATTTTGTGCAAACATTTTAGAAAATGTGACTGCCAGTAGAAATAAATGCATCAGAGTTCAAAATGCACGGTAGAAGGAAGGAAAACAAAGGCATAGTAAAACTGTGAGAACCGTACCTCCTGCCCAGTTAAGTTTCAATATAGGTAAAATACTGTAAGAGACGTTCTCATATACAGAAAGATAACTTTTTTAAAAAAGATATAGGTTTAGTGTGCCAGTATGATCATCCAATTTACAACAAATATGGTAAAGTAAGGAAGAAAACAGTGCTCACAACTTTATACACTGCGTTACTCTCATGAAGTAGCACTGGGGACAATGGGCAGTGAGGATAGTAGGGTTCACCACCACAGGAACTTCGTAAACCTTGCTAAAATCCCTTTCATCATTCTGTCCTAGTAGCACGATGCAGTACTGTGTAATATATGTACATTGCCTAATGCGATAGAGGTTTATAAGAACAATATAACAGAAAACAAGAGCACTGTAAGCTATTCCTCATCAAAATAATTCTAACAAGATGAAACTATTTGGTTTTATATTGGAAATCAGAAAAACTGCAAAACAAAAATGAAGTGCCCATGAGATCAATACTGCATAAGCACATGAACGTATACATGAAACACAAATATTTTTAACTGTTGGTAAAACAAATAAATATAAGAGGAAAAGTCAAGTCCTTCAAAACTTGTTACAAGTTGTAGCTTGTGTTTGGGATGTTCTCCTGCCTATCCCTGGAGTTACAGAGATGGGTATGCAGGAAATCAGGCTGAGCATGAAGAGGAGCATGGAGGAGAAAGTTACAGAGTATCGAGATACTGGTGATTTTATCTGTTTTGTGGCAGACAGTATCTAGTTTTGTACAAATAAATGTTCAAGACCTTACTGATTATCAAACTGTTTAGAAATATTCAATCAGGAGTTTGGAGTCTGGCTGTAATTAGCCAAATTGACTCAAGCCCCAGAAGGCAGGGACTGGGAGAATGAAGAACCACCCACTGTAGGAGAAGATCAGGTTCAAGACCATCTGAGGAACCCGAAGGTGAACAAGTCCATGGGACCTGGTGAAATGGATCTGTGGGTCCTGAGGGAATTTGAGGATGTAATTGCTAAGCCATTCTTCATCATATTTGATAATCTTCTGGGTGCAGTACATATAAGAAGCCACCCTCCTTCCATAGGTCATCTATTCAGGAACCTTCCACCTGTGTGAGTTGTGACCTAAACCAGCAGTACTTCAGATGTTAGAACAGCACTTACATCAGCCTGTCATTTGCCCCTTTGATGCTTGCTTACCTAACCAATAGTAATCATTAGTTTTCTTCTGCAATTACTATAATAATTCCTGAAATGGAGAATGGGACACAGTTGCATACAGTTTGAATTCTGCTCTCCCACTTCCATGGGCAGGCATACGTCTTGGAGCTTTGATATTTCTTTGAGTTTGTCCAGAAATATGTTCAGTCAAAAAGGGAGTCAAGCATCTGGTCTGGGCTTTCATGTGACTCTTTTTCAGCTGCTTGGAAATACAACATTATCCAGATAGGTACTTTTTGGGTGCCTTGCTTATTTTCTACCAAATATGAAGGAAAAATAAATGGATTCATCAAAATCCTTTTGTACCTGGAAAAAAATCAAGCCAATTAAAAAGCAGGCTGAGTTCAGTTGAATTCCTATGAGATTATTGAAATACAGGGAGGAAGAAAGAAATGTTGCAAGATCATCCCACCTTTCTTTAATTACACCTTTTACTTTCTTTTCTACATACACTTCTTGCAAATGTCATCAGATTACATTTTTAAGAAACGCTTTCATTTTTGAGTATCTACATGGCTAGTGTGCTGAACTGAACAAGGTTGCAAGAGAGAAGAGTTTATTCTTTCTACTTGGATTTTAAACTGAAATAGTGGCTCTAACTTGTGCTGCAGTTAAAAGTCCTCACGTTCTGGAGGATCTAAGTACTTGCAGTCAGGTTGAGAATGGTAATGGCAGGCACAGCAGGGAACTCGGATGCACTACGCTGAATGAGAAGGTGAGTGTTTTAGCACAGCTGCCTCCTGAGGGTCAGGGGAAAGGAAAAGCCCTGTGGGAGGATTTTCAAGCACCACTGAGCTGGCACACCAGGAGATGATGATTGACTTCTGAAGAGCCCTGCTGTGCAAAGGATTGTTGTGTTGTGGTCCCCTTTATCACTAGTTAGAAATTTCTTTTGAAGAGACCAAATGTGGGAGAGTAGTGAGTTAGCAGCAAAACAAACAAAAAATAATCCTTGAACAGCTCTCTTTGATGACATTGAGTGCTGGAGATTTGTTTCTGTTGATAATGGTTTCATTGATTTGGCAGTTAATTTTGTTAGAAAGATTGACTTTGTATGGCACTGGTAAGAATTCTGTATAAAAACAGACGACCTAATGCTCATGCAGTGCAAGTTGAATTGTTTGCCTTGAAAGGGGATGGCATTTTGAACCTCAATGCAAAGGGGAGATTTTATCTGTATTTGACATGTACAATCAGAAATACGTGGCACGGTTTCGTCTTAATACATGCATTTCTTCACAGGAGTTCAGGCACGCACCACGGAATGGCACAAACTGGAAAGGACACCCTTCTGCTGAGATCCCAGTGAAAACGTCCTTCAGCCCCTGGATGCCTTTGCAGCTCCCATGGCAACAAGAAGGAAGTGGACTGAAGATACTGTCTGTCAGCCTGGCTTTACTGGCAGTTCTTGTCATGCTTTACTACAGAGGGATGAAAACAGAACTGTGAACTGAATGAGGCTTTTAGGAAAACATAAAATTGCTGTTTAAAATCTTCAAAAGAAACACTTTTACCAACACATGTCTCTCTCTTAAAAAAAAAAAAAAAAAGATATAAATTGGGCAATAATTTGTACTCCTGCTATTTGGACTCATGCCTTTCCTGTTATTCATAGGAGAGAATACTAATAAGCTCTATGGAGATGTACCTGCCAAAGTTTGAGAACTTGGTGTGGCAGAACAGTTTGTTGCATCTTTCCTCCTCTTCTATTTTTTCTAAAACAATGCAATGTTTGCATTGCTTACTCTATTTATTACTGCTCTGGCAGGTAAAATTTTATACAGGAAACTCCTGAAGCTTATAAGAAATCTTTTCATTGAGTATTGTTGGTAATCTTTTATGGGTAGAACATTTATAACTTTCTTAAAGATTTTGCTTAATGCAGTGTGATGGTTTGATGTGTGCCTTTTTACATTAGAATCAAACACTGCTGGGCCATTAAAGTTTGTCATTTGTTGCTATTGATTTTGCTGTCATGTCTGAAAGAATTTTTGGCCTGCCATCTTACCTCTGTCAACTTCAGAGTGAGTTACTAAGCTTTGTTAATACAACAAGAATTATTTTTTTACATACAAATAGTTTTAAAGTTATTTTTATTATTGAATGGGAAGATGGGATTCTAGTGGTAGAGTTCTAAAGGATGGATTTAATACAGTCTCCATAGACTTAGCATAATGCTCAGATTCACCTAATGTGAATCTCATATTAGCTGTATATTGGATCATACTGTAAGACAATACAGCTCTGATGGTGGGGAGGCTACGCTTTGCACACTCCAGATTTCTAATTAGTGACATTAATACATGTCATCATTTATTTGTTCTTGTCTTGTCACCTTTGTGGATCTTCCTCCAAACTTCCACTTGCAAAGTCTGTTTTAAATCCTAAAAACAGGAGCTGTCTTTTTTTAGTATGTTTATGTAGTATCCAGCACAGACTGAGCTGGGCTCCAAACATGGCTCTACAGTGCAGATGAATAATCTGCTAGGAAGAATGCTTTGTACTTTTTACGTTGAGGATTTATCACAGTTACAGGCAAATTAATCAAGAAGTTCCACCATGATGGTCCCAGTACAGTCTGTAAATTATATCAACAAATAAGATCATCTTCAGGAAATTAGGTGTGTATTGACTTGAATATTATATTTCTTATTGCGACCACTGAAGGTCATGAGCCAAAACTCAAAAATTTTGAGATTTAAGAAAAAGCAAACAACAGCAATAACAAAAACTGTGCTCTTGTTTTGCTTCTGTCTCTCCAGATTTTTCTCTACAACCAGGAATATGTAACGATCAATAATTTACATTTTTAACAAATCTGAAATTCTATTAAAAAAAAACACTTGACTCCAGGTGCTGAAATTTGCAGCAAAGTGCCATGTATCACAAGATTCTCAGGAAAATAATGAGTTGACAAAATCATTATAACTGAGCCAATTTTTTGCATTTGATGGGAATAAAGTATGCAGATATGTGCTATGCCTCTAGCACTCTTGCTGTCAGCCACTCTAGCTTATCTAATTGTAGCAATTACAGATTCATTGCATCAGCTGTTACAGAGATTTACAAAGCTTGTGATTTAGATTCTGTGTGTAACTGGCTTTAATGGAACTGGTGTATTTTCTTAGAAACAATGCAACGCATAGGAGAGGGTGAAGAAGACTTTGTCTGTAAATGACATTGTCCAGAGATGCAATATATTTTTAAACTGAGCTTTCCTCTGATAAGTAGGAAGTGCTGTTTATCAAGTATTTTATTACCTTCCTTTTAATTTTGAGAGGGCTTGATGACACTTTGTATTGTAGAGCAGTAGAGTGTTTTTCATTTGTTTGTATATGTTTACACCTGAAATGTTCAAAGCCACTGAGCTGAACAAGTTGGTTCTGATCAGACAGCTCATCTGAACCTTCAGGCAAAACCCAAACTGTGCTGTGGTTGAAGTTACCATGGAAGCCCACCAGGAAAACTTAGGGAGTGTAAAACAAAGTGGCTGTATCTCCTTTATGGAACATGTTGACCTGGACCCATTTGATCTATGATTTTTGCTCCCATTTGGCTCTCTGAATGCTTCTAAGTGCCATGCCAGGTGGCATTTTTAATTTTTACATCAGTGTTATGTTTGAGCCCTACTTCTACCCTGCATTCTCTCCTTACAAGCCATAAGGGTGGGTGAGAAATCTACTGCACTCCAAATTAGTGAATATATTGCAGGAGAGTTTTCTCAACAGTCAATTGATCTTGCTCTACCAGATACGTAAACATATTTGTCACTAGAGAGAGTGTTTGGCTAATAAGCAATCTACATTCAACGCCCTTTTTTGTTGCCATTTGTTCTGTTTTTTAGCAGAGTAGATTTCCTTTTGGTACTAAGGAAGCCTCGACTATTATTTCTCTTTCTGTCTCATAGCACTGAGTTCCCTTTGGCTGTTTTCAGTGAGGACTCTTGCAAACCACAAGACTTGGACAGCAAAGACATCTTTAGCAAAAACATTAAGTGCATTAAGATTTGTCATGTAAACTTTGCATTGTAGTTTTCAGTTAATAGTATACTTGCTTAGTACAGGAGCGTGAAATAAAATGTGTTTTACATAAAGCTTGTTCTACAAAGCAAGAAAGAGGAAGGAGAAGGTACCTTTTGAGGAGAGTTCATCCACCCCTGTCACATCACTGCCTGCACATCTCTGAACATCTGACAGCTTCTGTTAATTTAGTTTCGCTCCCCAGTTCGACTTCCCATATGGAAAGCTGGAGTGATTTTTGAATAACAGCAAGTAATATTTGAGGTGGCAGCAACTGGCAACTCTGACATGGAGCTTGGCTGCGGCCATTACCCAGAATCCGTCCGCTCTTCTTGAGAAGCAATTACAATTTCACAGGTTGGAATTAAAACTCCCTGCGGTATGCAAGAGAGTAACTGAAACTGTCAAAGTGATTTCAAGCTGCTAATCTCTTGCTGCTCAAAGAGTGAAAATAGAGCCCCTCATACCCAGGCACAGATCTGACAACTCAAAAACTCCAGCCTTCCTCTACGTTTAAATACATATGGAGAGTGGCTTGATCTGCTCGCAGAGGATATCTGTAAAGATGTTATGTCTATGAACATTTGTGTGTTAATAACAAGTCTATCTTCTTTAACTGCAAGATGCGAGTAACTTCAGGGACTAAGACAAATATAAAAGAAGAGCTCTGAAAATCTGAAGGAGCAAATAGGCGTGTGCCTGTCTGTGTGAGGTTTATTAAATTCTGTATTTATATATTCTTGAACATGCAGTACTTTTGCTGGAAAAATGGCTTGCAACATTTCTGAGTTTTATTTTCACATATTACTTATATCCCACGTTTTATTTTGAATGTACTTTGTTTTATTGTATAGATAGAAACAAAGAGCATTTAGAAATCAAAAACAGAGGGGAAAAAATGGGAAGCTGTAAAGCCTTTGTAAAGCTAGGGTGCAAATGAAAAATATTAGTGTGAAAGCTGCAAAGCAGGTTTGAACCAGGAGACAGCCCACAGAGTTGAGGACTGGCTGCAAAACACCATTTGACTTGTTCAGAGGCAGGGTTCATCCACTAGATAATAACTAGATAATTAATGTTAAAATAATTGCTTGAAAGCATTTGTGCAAGTATCATTAAATGTCGTTTAGTTGCATATTTCATTCATGCAGGCTTATACTTAATATTAAAGTGAATCTTTTTGTTTGTTTGTTTAAAATAAATAAAGATGCTTCAGTAGCTATTGGAAGGAGAAGAATTATGAATAGTCCTATTTAAAGAAGAATAGTACCAGAAAAAAAAAGTCATAACAAATAATCATGTCCCTGCACCTGCTGGTATACTGTCTGTTAACTCCCACTTAGGAAGCTGTTTTGGGTTTGGATCATTTAAGTTGTAGGTCTATTTCATTGTGCTGTGTTGTGACAAGTCGGGTGTTTGAAAAGTCATGAAAGTGCCTGTGCTCCAGTCAAAAAGCTAATCAAGCTGATGGCAGAAAAGATCCTCAGATCTCTTTGTTCCTCTGTTCCACACCCTCTTGTAGGTCTTTTCACCATCTGTGCACAGACTTCTCTCTGCTCCCTTAAACACTCTGCTCATTCAAATTTCCTTTATCAATGTCAGATGCTAAAAGAAAGAACATTTAGATAATGTGCTTAACTTTCCATGTGGTCCTGTTAGGAAATTTAGGTAAGAAATAGGAAGGTGAGGATATGTGTTCCAGTGGTGAAGGTGTTGTGATGATCAAAGAGCATGAGGTATTCTTGTGTAACGGTGTGGGAGCTACATCATCACCTAAAACAGATCGTAGCATCTGTCATGTGCATCCTTCTCTTTCTGTACCTGTAATGATTAGTTGATCTCTCTTGCATTACCTCAGAGTAAACTGCATTTTGTATGTAACGCTAGAAAAATCCAGAGTGACTAAAATACGTGATTGAGGGCAGAATGAAGTACAGCAGTAATGTAGACAGAGATGTGCAGGTTCATGCAGTCCCCAAAAACAAGGAGCCAGTGCAGCATCATGCACCTCTTTTTGTCATATGGCTTCGTCTTGTATTTGCAGATGAACTTTTTCATGCAGTCTTCATTATTAAAATGCTAATTAAGGGTATCAGAATCCCCCTGTGTGCAAAGAGCTAACGTTGAATAGGAAAGGAGAGAAGAGGGCAAGGAAGTGGGCGGGGGGGGGGGGGGGGGGAGGGGGCAGAATTAAAAAATAATTAAAGAATTAAATATTAAAAAAAAAAGGCTCTGGACTTGCTATGTTTAAGATCAAGAGGGTACTATTTAGTAGTAGCATCACCAGAGAAATGCATTAGCAGTACAGAATGGAACTAAATATTGCATACAGTCATGCTGGTGCTCTTCTTTGCACCCTTTCCTTCTGTTTTCTGAATAGTTACTCTCCATTCCAAGGTTCTGAGATGAAGATTCCTCTGGCAAGACCTAACCAGATCAAGAGGAAAAATCTGCTTTCTGTTGGTTGTGATTTAGCATTTATTTCACTGAGCAGGGAGAGGCGGGGGATGTGAGTTAGTTCCCACAAATTGAGAAAGGCTAATATTTTAGCATCTTCTTGGCAAAGTTGTTTTTTTGTGTGTGAACTATTTAGTAATGATAACAGATAGCATTCTTGAAAAGCAGTGTTAATGTGACATTTTATGGAGTACAATCTGCTTTGGATGGTTTGCTGAATGCTGGTTGTAGGTAATGGAATGAAATTCCATGCTGGTGACCAGAGTGTGATTCAGACTGATGCCTACAACTTGTGTGCTTTAAATGTCCCATCTGTTGTTGAGTGTGAGAACAGGCTAGTTGTGCTCAACTGAGCATAAAATGCTGTGTCTACTCCCTTCCTGGGTGGTGTTTGTGGGGACGAGTGTACAAATGGTTAGTTGGCAATGGGTTACACATTACAGGAGAAGCTTGGGGACGATAAAACACACAACAAAAGGGACCATAATTGTTTGGCACATTGTGTGAGTTGGGGGTCTGAAAGAAATTAATGTGATGAAATCCTGACATCATGGGAAATTTAACTTTGCATAGTTAAGATCTCATTACAGTATACTGTAAAGGGGAAAACTGTTTTATGGTGCTTGGAATGCTTTGCTGCACAGACACCCTTCCCAACTGCTCGTAACTCCTGGGGTTACTGTGGTGCGTTAGAGCAGTTCATTTCACTACACTAGCTACTTCACACCAGTATCACAGTTGGAGAAAAGCAGTCCACTTTGTCTGGACTCTAGGAGTGATCAGGTGTGCACAGTTTTGCGGAGGAAGGTACTTTGACTGGTTGCCACATATTGCCCTGTTTTGTCAAACGTCTGCTAATCTTATAGCATTTCTTATTCCAGGTTAGGGAAAATGAGTAAACTGTGACCTGCAAAGAAACTTCCTCAATCCAATGGCATTCGGTAAATAATACATACTATTTAATGACGCAAGCTTAGACGATTTGTTTCTTCTTTGAGTACCTCCATTCCATTCCTTCCCTGTGAGCTTGCATTCTCTCTTATCCTTTTTTCCAGCAGAAGCTGCTTCACCCAAGCTACCAGCACCTCATTTTGTTTTATGGAAGAAGATGCATCTTCAGAAAGAAAGTACTAGTCTAAGTACTGTCTGCTTCCCTGAAAACAAAAATGCTACTTCTCCTGTAGAGCAGATTTGCTCAGTGCTTGGAAGTTATTGTGCTGCAGTGTCTCTCCTTTAGCTGTGCAGTGCCAGGTTGCTGTAGCCTTTGGGCAATGTTAGAAACTCCCATTTGCTAATAAGCAGAATTAAAAGGCCTCTTCTGTTGTGCGATGTTATTTTTAATACAGCAACCTCCAGAAATTTAGTAATTCAAAGCAAGAGAT